ATTCTTATCAGTCTGATTTTTTCTTCTCTCTTAACCTAACTACTGAATCCTTCCTGGCTATTTACGGGGATCTTTACTCTACTTCAAATTGTTTCTATTTTTTGTGTACCTACGTTTATTGTTGTTTTGCTATAATTACTTTCTATTTACAGCAGACTTAGTATTTAACTGTTCCTGTAATTGCTTATCTTATTGTATCGTGACAATATTGTATCTCTATGCTTACTGATATTGATTCTGATCGAAATCTTCTGTCCCATATCCACACAAATGAGCACATTGATCATTATTATTATTGTAGGTATTACACAGCAAATCTTGCAAAAAACAAACTCCTAAATAGCACCTGCTTATCAGTTTACAACCAAAATGTTAGGTAAACTTGGTAAACATTTTGATGATACAAATACACTACTCACAGCACTAGGTACTAAATTATCATTCATCATTTTAACAGAAACTTGGCTAAGTAATGACTCAAAATTATGGTGTCATGTTAGTGATTCAATTATTTTCATAAAACAAACATAGTTTTGCTGTTATTACACTATATACACAGGTTATTTACAAGTATCTGCATGTTTTGTTCACCATAACGAACCACTAAGTTGGAATTGTGAGTCAAAAAGCAATGAAGAGTGGCCTTCACCCAGCAGCCAGTCAGCCACTCGCCACCACTCTCTCACTCACCTCCTCCCACCATACTGTTTTTGCTTTTATTCACTATACACAGACGTGACATTATATATAAATATCTATATGTTTTGTTCACCATAACTGTACATCTAAGCTTGTATGGTGAGTTCAGTCAATAAGAAAGTTACGCACACAGTCGGCTGGTAGCTGCCACCCTCACTGGTTCAAGGCCAGATGCACTAATATTTCTCCTCCAACAATACTGTTTGTGTTGTTATTACACTATATACACACATTATATATAAGTATCTACATGTTTTATTCACCATATCTGTACAAATAAGCTGGTATGGTGCCCAAAGACCATAGTGGCCATCAGTAAACATGACATGCCATGCAGACAATGCACCTCCCTCGCCAAAATGGCGGCTCCCAACATACTCCTATTGCTGTTATTATACTCTATACACACGTTATATACAAGTATAGTATCTACATTTGTGTTCACCATGGCGAACCACTAAGCTGGTATGGTAAGTCTTGTCAATAAAAGATGGTGACACACAGTCAGAAGACGACGCCACCTCCCTCCCTCCCTTATTTATTTATTTATTTATTTATTTATTTATTTATTTATGCATATACAAGAATGTACATAAGGAATGTGAGGATACAAATATGGTAATTACAGTCTTGTAAAGCCACTAGCACGCGCAGCGTTTCGGGCAGGTCCTTAATCTAAGAAAATTTTAAGGAGGTAAATACATGCAAAATTTATAGACAAAAAAATAACAGATTACATGAAATGAAAAAAAAAAAAAATAGAAAATTATAGGTACAGTATATTAAAGCACATAGGTAGCTAAGATTGATTGCAATGACAGCTTAAAATGGTAGTTGACAACAAATTGGTAGGCACAATACAGCAGAAACAATATAAGATTGATTGCAATGACAGCTTGAATGGAAGTTGACAAAAATTGGTAGTCACAATACAGCATATGGCTAGCACATAAAAGAAGACAGCAATGAACACAATGATAAGGTTGTTTGATATTACATAAAAATTAGGAGATTGGGTAACACTAGGTACAGAGCAAATTTAAAGCTCAGTGTAGGAAACTAAGATGAAGAAGTTAGGTACTTTTTGGTTTTGCTTTTAAATAAGGCAAAAGTTTTACAGTTTTTCAATTCACTAGGGAGTGAGTTCCATAGACTAGGTCCCTTAATTTGCATAGTGTTTTTACACAGATTAAGTTTGACCCTGGGGATATCAAAGAGATATTTATTTCTGGTGTGGTGATAATGGGTCCTATTACATCTGTCCAGGGAGAGTTTCAGAGCATGGTTTGCATTTAAGAACAGGGTTTTGTAAATGTAGTTGACACAAGAGAATGTGTGGAGGGAGTTAATATTTAGCAAGTTTAGGGATTTAAACAAGGGAGCTGAGTGTTGTCTGAAAGCAGAGTTAGTTATAATTCTGGTTTGTATAATTGGTGGTTTGGAGTGGTAGACCCCCATGCACAGATACCATAATTAAGATAGGGATAGATTAGTGCATAATATAGTGAGAGGAGAGCAGAGTTAGGAACATAATATCTGATTTTGGAGAGTATACCAACTGTCTTAGAGACTTTCTTAGTTATGTGTTGAATGTGGGTGCTGAAGTTGAGTCTCTTGTCTAGGAATAGGCCAAGAAACTTGCCATCATTTTTATTACTGATGTTAATGTTGTCTATCTGTAGCTGAATTGCATTTGATGATTTGCTTCCAAATAAGATGTAGTAAGTCTTTTCGATGTTTAATGTTTGTTCGTTGACATCCATAAGTGGACTTTTTTTAATTCATTATTCACAACATTATTTAGTGTATGTGGGTTGAGGTTTGAGTAGATAAGGGTAGTATCGTCAGCAAACAATATAGGTTTGAGAATATTAGAGACATTAGGCAGATCGTTTATATATATAAGAAATAGAAGAGGTCCTAAGATGCTGCCCTGTGGCACTCCAACGGTAATTGGTAGAGTGGAAGAAGTTGTATCATTGATGGTTACATATTGGTGTCTGTCACTAAGATAGGATCGGATGTAGTCAAGGGCAAGGCCTCGGATTCCATAATGCTGGAGTTTAAGTAAGAGGTAGTTGTGATTAACAGTATCAAAGGCTTTTCTTAGGTCAATGAAGAGTCCAATCGGAAACTCATTTTTGTCAAGGGCTGAGTAGATAATGTCAAGGAGACTAATGATTGCATCATTGGTGCTCTTTTGGGACCGGAAGCCAAACTGGCAGGGGCTGAGTATGTCGAATTTTACGAGGTAGGAATAGAGCTGTTTGTAAATAATTTTTTCAAATATTTTTGATAGAGTGGGTAGATTTGATATTGGTCTATAATTGTTTATGTCCGCCGGATTGCCTCCTTTATGGACTGGCGTTACTCTTGCTTTTTTGAGGATATCAGGGAAGGTGTGATACTCTATAGATTTGTTGAACAGTAGTGCTATGGGTGGGGCAAGGGCATGGGAGGCTCTCTTGTACACAATGGACGGAATTTCACTGGTGTTCCCTGCCTTGGTTTTTAGAGAATGTATGATGGACACAACATCTGCCGGGCTGATTGGTGAAAGGAGAAGAGAGTTTGGATAGCTGCCTGAGAGATATGTGTTAATGTGTGTCTGAGTCTGTGGGATTTTACTGGCAAGATTAGCACCAACCGATGAAAAGAAACTATTAAATTCATTTGCCATTTCTAAATCAGTTGACGGTATATCCCCATCCTTGTAGAGTTTTATTTGGTTATGTGAGTGTTGTTTAGTTCCTAGGATACTAGAGATAGTTTTCCAAGTGCTTTTCATGTTGCCTTTTGCTTCATTGAATCTATTCACATAATATGCAAGTTTTGCCTTTCTTATGATACTGGTAAGCATTGATGAGTACCTTGATATTACATAAAAATTAGGAGATTGAGCTTTAAATTTGCTCTGTACCTAGTGTTACCCAATCTCCTAATTTTTATGTAATATCAAGGTACTCATTACTTAGTGTAGGAAACTAAGAAGATGAAGTTAGGTACTTTTTGGTTTTGCTTTTAAATAAGGCAAAAGTTTTACAGTTTTTCAATTCACTAGGGAGTGAGTTCCATAGACTAGGTCCCTTAATTTGCATAGAGTGTTTACACAGATTAAGTTTGACCCTGGGGATATCAAAGAGATATTTATTTCTGGTGTGGTGATACCAGCATTACTGCTGGTATCAGAATTACTCCTCCCACCATGGAGCACAGTGCTAAATATCACCACAATCCTACTATTATCAGAATCCTGGTCAGTTTTATCACAGTCTTCTGTAATACTATCATCGCTAAATAATAGCATGTACTTATATATTTTCACATTTTTAGGCAATGCTGTGGTCACAAGCTGAACAGCGGTACTGTGAACTCATGCTGCGTGCGCCAGCCTTGGTGGCTCACTCAGTACCGAGGCTTTCACACCAGGGAATGTTGCCTACAAATTTTTTTCTAGGTGGGGTCTGTTGACTATCGGTCGTGGCTGGACTATTACTGCCCCCTATCCCATGCGGGGCATTTATAATCGTGCGCTAGAGCCTCAATCGTCTATATATGTATTGCGCGGTCTAAGGGTTAATAGGGCCACACACACAGATGATGCCCGGCCCTGGTCAGCTGGGGGGCTGGAGGTTGACCCCACTTTACTGCCAAGCAAGGGCACCCCCCTCCCCACGAAGCAGTCCCTGGGCCCCTCATTGCCAAGGGGCCCCAGTAATAGAGGATATTCCTGGAGGCACTCGCTTGGACTTCATGCCCCAGTGGAAGAGAATATCATATCCCGGGTAGCACTAGAATATGGCACAATAGCATTTTCACCAACGTAATTCTGCATTGTTAGACTAACCCTCTGGAAGATACACTTTATTACACTTTTAAAAATTATCAACACTTCCATAGAAATAAATATTTCATTCACCTGGGATCTAGGAGACTAGATTATTACACTACCATAAAAACTGGCAACATGGTTTAAACATATTTAGTACCCAAATCCCACTGGCTATAGGTGGTTTGAGCAGAGTTGGCACCACTTGTCTTCCTTCTGACCACAAAACACAGCTAGCTAGCATTCTACCTCCTCTTCACAAATCAACTTGAGAATGGTCCAGGACGGACCGAAACGTTGTCGTCCCTTCAACTTCTAGTGTGTGGTCTGGTCAACACAGCTAGCTGGGGCTAGCTTGGTACTAAAGTTGTTGTTGTTGTTTAAGATTTGCTACCTGGAACAAAAAGTTTCGAGTAGCACCGGCTATGGTGAACCCGTTGCTGTAGTCAAGGACATATTTTTGTTTTTATAAATGTTCAGGTAAAGTTAATGTCAAAATGTTTCCAAACTCAACCATTTTCCTTTACAAACACAAAGAGTGAGGAAAACATTAAAAAACATTTAGATACTGTATAGCATAATTAAAAGAAATTGCACAACTCTTGAGTGCTTTAGGGGGGACTCCACAGTATAGTGGTTAACTATACCTTAATGTTGCTAAACAAAGGTTTCCAAATGCTACATCTGTTCAGTGTTAAAAGCTTATACTTACATCTAAGTACACACCTGTATCTAAAGTAGAATGTTTACACTGATGAAGACTGGTGTAGGCCTAGAGTAAACATTTGTAAGAATTGTTCTTCATACATATTTATCCTGGCTGGCTTAATTTCCCTGGCAGAACAAGATCTTTGGGCAATTTTCTTTTTACCCGATGTACCTGTTCAACTACAGTAGATGTAAATAGGTATCAGGGAACTGGGCAACTGTTGTGGGTTGCATTCTGGGAAATGGCAGTCAATGGCTGGGGAGACCTCAGTAAGTCTAACAGGAATCCAATCTCAAATAACAGAACCCATGATTATATAGTATGTTTGTGTTGGACAGGTAATGGACGGGATCCACGAGGGAGCCGCAGTGGCAGCAATGGGGACGTGGTCGACAGCAACGTGTTGCGGAAGGTGGCCAGTCTCACCCTCGACCGAGCCACCATTGACAAGAAGGTCACTAAACCCAAGTTCGTCCCTGAAAAGCTCGACTTCAAGATTTATGAGAAGTTTGAAGGTAAGATTGTTTCAAAATATTTTTGTATTTTTTGATGTAGCATTTAGAAAGATTTTTTGTGTATAGTTTTCGTGTTTGTTCACAAACATTGTAACTTTTTCTTGTTTATTAATGAAAGGTATGTTATGCTTGATAAAATTGTTGAAAACTTGTGTTTTGGATTGTTTTGATAATTTTAAGAAAAGAAAGTGGTGAGTTTAGGTAAAATGATGTACAGTATAATTATTCTTTAGTTGAATGGAATTAATTTTTAGTACAGTATCTAAAAACGATTGAAGGAATGTTTCAGTAAGCGTTATGGATACAGCAGCAGCTGTGAATACAATTTTATTTAAATTTCTAACAGTTAAATGGTTTTAAATTTTGATTATACATATGCATAAAACCTTACTCATTGTGTATATCCTTGTTCAATATGCATATACAGCACTCTTGACTGGGGCCCCCTACCCAGATAATGGACACTGGGACCCCCTACCCAGATAATGGACACTGGGCCACTACCCAGATAGATAATGGACACTGGGGCCCCTACCCAGATAGATAATGGACACTGGGGCCCCTACCCAGATAGATAATGGACACTGGGACTACTACCTAGATAATGGACACTGGGACCCCTACCCAGATAATGGACACTGGGGACCCCTACTCAGATAATGGGTCTTGCCCATCTGCTAAAGTACAAGATTCCCCTTGGAAAGTTATGCACAAATTATTTATATTATAAATATAATTTAAAAGGGGATTTGAATCCCAATAATTATTTATAATTATCCACTCTTCCAAGTGATCTCTTATGAACAATATGGCAACATGGGATCCCTAGAATCCTGGGGCCCCTTACGTGGTTTGACTTTTGCTTAAATAGGATATTACTGCACTTAAGAAAATAAATGAACTGCGACTCAGAACGAGAACTGTATTTTCTCTGACCCTAGTATGCTTTTTTTTAATTTAATTTTAATTGAACTATTAATAATAAAAATAAAGCAATAATAGCTAAGAGGTAGGTCCCAAGAACTAATGTCTGATACGTCATATAGACCCACATGCGGATAGACCATTATTTGACTTGATACTTTAACTACGACTAGGGAGCCGGTCGGCCGTGCGGACAGCACGCTGGACTTGTGATCCTGTGGTCCCGGGTTCGATCCCAGGCGCCGGCGAGAAACAATGGGCAGAGTTTCTTTCATCCTATGCCCCTGTTACCTAGCAGTAAAATAGGTACCTGGGTGTTAGTCAGCTGTCACGGGCTGCTTCCTGGGGGTGGAGGCCTGGTCGAGGACCGGGCCGCGGGGACACTAAAGCCCCGAAATCATCTTAAGATAACCTTAAGATAACGACTCTGTATATACTGTACTCTATTGAACCCTAAAAAAGTGACACCTTATGCAGGAATTGGCCTAAAACTGAAAATACAATCCATATCATAAAATCTGCAAATTTTATGATTTGGTTTATAATATTCTCATGTCACTGATATATATGATAAAAATGTTTTGGCCCCAAAATGGACCCCTGTGGTACTCCTCTTACCATAGTTCTCCAGTCAGATTTATTCCCATTTAATATGACCCTTTGTTATTTTGTTTTAACCATTGTTTTATCCATTCTAATATTTTACCATTTATTTATTTATTTATTTATTTATTTATATATATATACAAGAAGGTACATTGGGTTTGTGAGAATACATTGGATAGTACAGTATTTACATTCTTGTAAAGCCACTAGTACGCGCAGCGTTTCGGGCAGGTCCTTAATCTAGCAGATAATTTTAAGTAGGTAATTTCAATCAGAATTGATAAATGATTTATTTATTCTTTATTTATCTTTATTCTTATTCATTACCATTTATTCCAAATGGTAATGCTCAAGGTATATTTCTACTTTGAGAAGCACTCAAGAAGCTGGGCAGGAACAAGGCAGTTGGCCCAGATGGACTTTCACCTTGGGTTCTTAGAGAATGTGCATACATAACAGGTTATTCTCTAAACTGGAATATGCCCAAATACAGATGACAGTAGACTAAAAAGTGTAACAGACATCACTGACAGTTCTATATGTACAGACACTATAACAGTCCTTGATAGAGAGAGAGACAAACCAGGAGGACAGACATGCAAGTTCTATGAACTTGCATATAGTCATTTGCAGACAGATATTCTGGAAATAGAAAGGGATTAGAATGCAGCTACCATCATCCCGGGAGCCGGTCGGCCGAGCGGACGGCACGCGGGACTTGTGATCCTGTGGTCCTGGGTTCGATCCCGGGCGCCGGCGAGAAACAATGGGCAGAGTTTCTTTCATTCTATGCCCTGTTACCTAGCAGTAAATAGGTACGTGGGTGTTAGTCAGCTGTCACGGGCTGCTTCCTGGGGGTGGAGTCCTGGTCAAGGACCGGGCCGCGGGGACACTAAGCCCCCCGAAATCATCTCGAGATAACCTCGAGAAGATCCCAAAAAATGTCTAAATATGCTTAGGAAAGGAAAAAGTTAATTTGGATCAACGTGTAGGTTTTACCATCCTGACATGTGAAAAAACATTTTTGCAAGGGCAAAAAATGCTATAATCTCGGCTGCCCATACTTTCACATGAAAGGCACGGAACGCTACATAAACAGTGGCAAACAAGAAAATGGCTTTGGAGGAAAGTCAAATAAATTGTTAAACCTAGACAAAAGAGGTTTCAAAAGATGAGAGAGAATGTATAGAACTGTATCAAAAGACCCACTTGCATACTAGAATAACAGATACGGAGATTTAAGTCTCCGTGGTGTAGTGGTAAGACACTCGCCTGGCGTTCCGCGAGCGCTATGTCATGGGTTCGTATCCTGGCCGGGGAGGATTTACCGGGCGCAATTCCTTAACTGTAGCCTCTGTTTAACGCAACAGTAAAATGTGTACTTGGATGAAAAAACGATTCTTCGCGGCAGGGGATCGTATTCCAGGGAACATAGGATTAAGGACTTGCCCGAAACGCTACGCGTACTAGTGGCTGTACAAGAATGTAACAACTCTTGTATATATCTCAAAAAAAAAAAAATACAATAACACCCTTTTGGGCCCTGCCCAAATTGAACTCCCCTAATTCCTGAAATGAGATTTGAAGGCCAAATCATTGTGGCTTCACACAGTGGGAGTAGCCACAAATTCCCTCCACACCAGAGCTACAATTACGACAGGCAACAACCCTACAACAGTCAGTACTGGTCAGAACACATCGGATACATCCACATATACTGGACCTGCCAGAAAAGTCTCGCAGTCAAACTACCCTAAATAGTAATCTCATTCATCTTTGCCAACATACAAGGGCTGTACACAAGAGCAAAAATCAAAGTACCATTCATAAATGACCTCACCGAGTCAAATGAAGTATTTGGAGATTTCACAGAAACCCATACAAGGGAATTCTTGGACAGTGAGATCTGGGTACCAGAATATAATCTATACAGATGTGATAGGGTAAATAGGTTACATGGCGTAGGAGGTCTGTATTACAGAAAACCTTGTATGCTTGGAGTTCCTTAACTCTACAAATGAGGTGTTAGAAGTACTGGGTGTAATACACACAGAAATCACAATGTGTGATAGATCAAATGAATAAATAGAGAAAATAAACTTAGTTATTATTCTAATACAATATACAAACCGACAAATGCAGTGGCTGAGTAATTCACAGAACATGAATACAAAATAGAGAAGAGCCTCGATAATTTGGCAAACTCAGTACCTGATATTATCTGCCTAGGTGACTTGAGCTTGCCTAGTCTAAGAGAATAGCAAACAATATTATTGTATCGGGAAATCTATCTGGACATAACCAACCACAGATTAGAGAACTACAGTACACTGTACTTGGATTCTGTAACAAACTTTCACTCAACCAGCCAATAACAAAACCAACTAGGAACCAAAATATTCTAGATCTGGGGCCAGATTCACAAAAGAACTTACGCAAGCACTTACGGACCTGTACATCTTTTCTCAATCTTTGGCGGCTTTGTTTCCAATTATTAAACAGCTAATGAGCTCCGAAGCACTAGAAAGCTGTTTATAACAATAACAACAGTTGAATGGGAAGTTTTCATGCTTGTAAACTGTTTAATAAATGTAACCAAAGCCGTCAAAGATTGAGGAAAGATGTACACGTTCGTAAGTGCTTGCGTAAGTTCTTTCGTGAATCTGGCCCCTGATCTTCACAAACATAGACATAATCAAGGACATTACCATCTCAGATACCACATACTTGGATCACAAGATCATTGAAGTGCAAACTAACATCAATACTCAGAATAGACCTAAAACAATGATCAAGTGAGAAGGGTTATTCAGTAAATTTAATTTTAATAAAAGGATAGACTGGGAAAAAATAAACAGGGAACTTGCAAACATTCAATGGAAAATTGTTCTATGTAATAAAAATCCCATACAATGTATAGAACAACTGACTTCCGAAGCACATAAGGTCTGTCTGAAACATGTCCCTTTGAGGAAAGCCAGAAAGAGGTCTAACATTGAAAGAGAATGCAGACAACACTACAAAAGGAGGAAGAAAAATTAACAGAAATGCTTAAGCAGACATGACTAACCCTACAAAGAAAGAATAATTTAAACAGGAGATTGAAGAAATCAAGCAGAGACTGAACCTTCATATCAGATTGAAGAAATACAACTAGAACAGAAAGCAGTACAAGAGGTAAAGAAAAACTCAAAATATTTCTTAACGTATGCAAAATCAAAAGCAAAAACCACTGCCAGTATTGGACCTATTCGTACAAGTGAAGGTTCATACACAGAAGATGACAAAGAAATTAGTGAAATCCTAAAAAACCAGTGTTGATTTCTCATGAAATGCCATTTTATGGGAGGAAGCCCCTTTGGCTCCCCGGAGCTATCTGGGCTGATATGAATGTATTAGACCCTGGTATCATTCAAGCGAATAGCGTTCCTAGGCCAACTGGGGACCACGAGCCAGACCCTAGCCCCCTCAGAGAGGCACAAGGAGCAATGGCCTATAGAAACCCCCGTGTGGTTAGGAGCATTCTATGTCTGCCATCGACCGGATTCGGCACCCAGATAGGTAGGCATCCCAAAACAAACACCTATTCTGGTTAAAATATGGCTACCGAAAGCCGAACGAGTGGACAGAACTCCCGAAACAAAATTATTTAACTAGCATGACGTCGTGTCGCTGCGCCGCCGTCTGCGCAATCCCCTCCTCCCTGGGAGGGAAAAGGGGGAGCCCCAGACCCACCAGCCGGCGACCCAACCTACAGTTCTTGGCTGATGTGATTACTGGCTGGTTGAGTGCCACTGGCTCCCGCTTTGTTTCAGTTCTACGATAAACTATGTGGAAAACACGAGTACACCGCCCAGAACAAACATCCCGGCCCCAGCGCACGAGGTACTAACCGCACCACCTGTCCATCGGGCGGCGTGGCTCGTACACCAGTCGGACACACACATCATACACACACACATCGTACAGACGGTCCAAGAATTTTGGAAGGTACAAAGAGCACCACGACAAACAAGCACAAATGCACGGAGGCACATATGGACAAAAAGACACCCCCTGAACCAGGAACATGCATGGACCCCGATACAAAGGGAACAGTATCGCAATGGAAGCGCGAAAAGGATGAGAAAAATGTGGGAATAAAATGGATAAGTTTAGATTCAGGAAAGACGTGGGTAAACACTGGATCGGTAACCGGATTGTTGATTTGTGGAACCAATTACCGCGTGATGTAGTGGCAGGGTGGGTTCCCATGATTGTGTCAAACGAGGGATGGACATGTATGCGAGTGGGATTGTGTGGCTATAAATAGGGGCTGCCTCGTACGGGTCTGATCAGTTGGCCCCTCCTTCATTCCAGCTTTTCTGGCGGCCTCTGCCTTTTTTCTTTGAGGCGAAGGGTTTGGAGGATAGCTCGGGCCCGGGTCCTGGTGTGGAGGTTCCTGGGGTGGGGGAGGGCTGACTTGAGGGGGCTTGGGCCCCGTTTGACCCCACTTGGGTTTTGGTACCCTCTGAGTGGGGCTTCTTGTTGCAGGG